GAATTTTGCTCCATAATTCGTCTTAGTACCGAATTTATATTTAGACGAGTTATCGGATGATTCGTCTCTGACGGATAACTCGTCTCTAGTATAAATTCGGCCAATGTCATAAGAATAGATATTCTTGAGTGGTAACATTAGGATAATTTTTAAAGTTCTTGACTTTATTATGCATGGAGTAATCATAAATAAATTGCTAATCGATTTCAGTTTTAAACAAGCTACGTAATGACAACTCGAAGTTTTTAACGGTTTAAGAGCGCTTCTCTGCAAAAATCAAACATATCGCGGCAAAATTCGATTTCTTTCTTATTTTAATGTTAGATAGGCTAGGCTATAACTAAAATCACTGGATACTTTTTTTGGCAAAACATCTTTTTATTTCAGAGAAAAATACGAATAACGAAATTCCGTTAAAATCGTCATTTTTAGCAGCAGATTATGGCACGAGTTTGAGGGCTTCGCGTGCAAAAACGAATCACTATCTCGTCTTTTAAACACTCAAATCTTCTTTTTCGCTCTCATAAGACCTCACAAAATGATTTTTGTAAACATTGCGCTCTTCTTTGCGCTTAAAATAATTTAATTTCGAAAGCATGCATTTCTCTTCAGTAAAAATACTCCGTGAATAAAATTAATTTTCACCATGTGCTAAACCTTCAAATGGATTAAGCTTTTGGTGGTTGAATTTTGAAAAGATGTTCTCAACATAACTGAAAAAATTTGTTTGGGCAAATGTTTGAGAGCGATACAAAAACTTTTCAAAGTCCGTTAAAATGAAGGTATTTGACCTTTTGCGGTCAACATTCCGGTCGCGAGTCACACATATTTTAATATGTTTCAACCCATATGAGGCCGAAAAATGTACATAGAAAGATATTTCCAAATGCTCTAACCTCATTTGTCACAGAAGACCAATCCAGAGACCATTTTAGTGTGATTCTCTTGTCGTTCGTCGTATTTAGGTCTGTATAAGTGATAACGTCCGATGAAACCACCAACCCTGTCGAACACCATCTTGTTGTCAAACGTTCGATATCTTTCTTCACTGTGGCATCTTATTCAACGGTTCAGTTGACTGCGAGTATTGTTCAGTTTACAATGCACTAAAAGATTACATCTGACAGTATAATTCAATGCTAAACTGAGTTTACTACAAACTTGTACGCCCTTTGAGTATTGGCTTGTCACGCAATACCGGTGACAAAGGAACTTTAGGGGGTAGGTGAAGGGCAAAACTCCAGGATTGAACTCTTGGAACCTACAAAATATTTTATTTTGTAAACATTTTTATAAAAGTGTCATCGTTGTCTGATGACAAACAGTAAAATACATTTATTTATTGCAGGGAATTATTCTTGTTTTTTTGGCGCTCTGTGCCTGTCGTACTTATTAGGGGTGTTTTTCTTTCCAATAAAATTGCAAGAAATACCCGAATAGCATGAAAGAGAACCTTTTGTAAATTTTTACAACACCATGCTGCAAAACGCAGTGGTGGGAATGTGTGGCTTATGTGAGACTGGGGTGCTATGTTCCGTGGCCAATGGGTGGGGCTTGCATAAGGGAGTGGTACTATTAACCACTGTTAACAGACCCAACTACCGTTTAAAACCATAAACTACAGAGGGGCCGACATATGTGCGCTCGGCACAAAATAAGGTCGATCTCATCTTCAGGACCAGTAAATTTGAAAGCCGACTCGTGACTTGCGATATTCTTGGTGCATGAAAGTAAAGGAACAATTTCCGTTTCACGCATTCGATCTCTAGTGTTGTAACCACAAACTCCGCCAATATGCGACTTGAACGAACAACAACTTTCCATTTTTTATGTAACAAAGTTGACCGTGTAAGTTAGTGTATTTGTGAAAAA